ACTGAGAAAAGTTTATTGAGAGGCAATTTTTAAAATGTCATATATCTAGAAATATTGGTATGCTACCCTCAAGTTTGGTTGACCATTGGGTTTGGTATAGGATTCTAAGTAGGAAATAATTTTCTTTCAGATTTTTAAGGACATCACTCTATTTTTTCCAACTTCCAGTGTTGTTAATGATAGGTCTGGTGTTATTCTGATTTTTTTTTTATCATGGTATTTATTTCTCCCTGGAACCTTGTATTTATTCTTTGATATTCTGAAAATTCAAAACAATGTGCTTTGGTGTGGGTCTTTTTTTTTTTTCCCCCCCATTACGGTTGCCAAGCATTTATGGGTCTTTTAATCTAGAAGTGCTTCCAGACCCACTGAATAATGAAGAAAACAGGAAAAAGAGTTTGGGGGGTGGGATCCAAGTAACAGGGGATGCATCATGGATGAGAAGCAAAGAGAATTCCCTGCAAAATGACTATGAGAAGTATTACAACAATAGTGTATGGCAGGCCTAGTGACAATCGGTCCACACTGGAACAGGAGAGTGGCGAATCCCTGAAGAAGAAGGGATGGCTCTAAGAAAAATAAATTAAAGTAACAGATTTCCTTATGTGTTTGACCATTAATCCTTCAGTTTTGTGATTTTTTAAAAACTTTCATTTCTTTAATGGTACTTTTTCTTCCCAGCCAGGTCTTGCTCAAATAATGACCCATAACATTGTGCGTTCTTATAAAATAGTTGTTATCTTAGGCTACTCAGTTTAGTAGTTTGTTATACAACTATAAGTGACCAGAATAACATGTAATATTTCAAGATGGGAAATAAAACCTAGTGTTAGTAGAGTGTGGTTTACAGGAGGAAAGGAGGAGAAAAAAACAAGAGATACATTTTTGGGGAGTGTACAATTTGTAAGGTAACATTTTTGATGAAATTGATGCTCTATAAATTGTGTGGTGAAAATGAGGAACTGATATGTTTTGTCTGAGGCTTCAAACTAGTGAGTGACAGGAAACTGTTATGGGGAGAAAGTGAGGGAAAAAAAGATGCCTAATTATTTCTCCCTTTCAGCATGTGCATTCCTGACATCTCTGAGGACTAAGATTGTCCTGTAAGGAATATGATTAAAGTTACAAAAAGGAAAACAAAATTAGTAAGTCAGCTTTTGATCCTGCTGCTCTATTTACCCACAGGAAAGAAGGCTGCTCTCAGGTGGTCTTTTGTTTAAGTAATGTCCCGAAATCCAAGTGTAAAAGAACAATATGAAATCTCAATTCTCCCAAATGGTTTGGGGCCAGTTCAGCCCTTGAGCCCCTGGGGGTTTGGTTCCCAAGGAGACTAATCCCCCTTGCTCAGCCCTAGGTATCACTGGAGCAAAAGAGCTCTATTTTGGAGCTTTGTGGAAAGGCCATAGGGCAGCCTGAAGCGGAGTCCTTCCGCCTCATCGGAAGTGAAATCTGTTGGTGCTCACTCTGGGTCTAGGAGGAGGGGCTATGGGCCTGGCAGGAGCTGGCCACTGACTTTGCTGAACCGAATTTCATCCCAAATGGAGTCTTTCCGTAAAGGAAAGATCAAGGAGAAGAGCAATTGAGATCATAAGCTGAGGTCTACATGTACAATTTAGTCAGATACTGGAAACTTTAAGGATTTATTTTGATCTTAGGTATCAAGCTATTTCAGGCAGAGTTCTTTGTTGCCTAAGTATCTATAGTTCCCATAAACACCATTATTTTGATAGGACCATGCCTCTCTGCCCAGGGTATTCCCAGAGATATTGCTTGTTTGCTTGGCACCAAGTTTTAGCTCAAAATGCAGGCTTCCCCAAGTTCTCTGGGCTGAATTGATGGTTCTTTTATTCCATCAACTATTGTACCTCAAATTTACTTCCATTGAGAAGAATCATATTATGTTACAGTGGCTTGTTGCAGGTCTGTCCATTGGAAATGGTAAGAATCATGGCTTCTTATCTCTCTATTCATGGTCCTAGCACAGTGCTGAGTACATTGTTGGTGTCAACATCTTTCTGTTGAATGGATGGGTGACTGGATAGATATTCTATATGTAAGAATCAATTTTGTAAATCAGGCTACTGAACTTCTAAGTCATGAAAAATGTATATTTGCATATGGAGCTTTATGATTGACAAAGAACTACTTCCACTATCTCAGTGACTTTCACAGTAGCCTGATCAAATAGACTCAGAATATTATTCCAATTTTATAGACGGGAACATTGAGGTGCAGAGGATTAAGTGACTTTTCTACAGTCAGTTGAACGATAAAACGGTAGATTGCTCTCCAGTCTCATTCACTGGCTCTAACTTCATCATTCTCTCTATACATTACACTGCCTTTTTCTAAGTGTCTACAACGGCTAAGCATAGCTGCTCTTTTGCATTTGAAAACAGTCACTCATTTTGTTGGGGGAAAGGACTATTGATGCTGATTTTATAGGTTAATGTGTTGGTGAGAAATTGGTGGGGACAAAGGAATCAAAAACATGGACATTTGTGGAGCCCCTATTTTGTGCCAGGACTTTCATATATATATGACTTCAAAACAGTTTTGAGGAACTGAGATAATTTTCATTGTACCATCAGAAAAAGTAAGATTCAGAGGTATTATTTGTCTGCCATGTCATGGAATTCTCATAAAATTCTAAGAATAGTTATTACCATTACCTATCATTCAGATGAGGAAACTGAGTTTTAAGAAGATGAGCTGACTTATCCAAGGACACTTGTCTAGCCGGTGACATGCCAGAATTTGAGCTCGCATCATCTAAGTCCAACTTTTATGCTTAGAACACTAATGATCAGGAAATGTAGAAACTTTTACATATGAATCTTTTAATATTCCATTGATTTTTAATATGATTATATTAGAATTTAGCTAATTCTCTGGGGATTAAGAGATATATATTCAGATTAAAGATATAAATTAAATGTATTATCCCCCAAGAACTGTACCTGGGGATTTGTGAGAGCTGCTCAGTTGAAAGAAGGTGAAGGAAAGAGTTAGTGCTTTGGCTGCCAGACTCTGAACTCTATGGAATGGTCTGGAAGGGGAAAGGAAAAGCTGACATCCACATCTGAAGGGTGAGAAATACAATGCAAGGATAGGCCCACACAATTTTTCTGAGTGCAAGTGTCACCAAAAATAGACAGTCCAATCTCGAGGACAAAATCCTGTGTGTGTAATTCAAATGAACAGTACACTATAATTGAACCAACTTAAATTTAAAGAATAAAGAGTTTGTTTCACCTCTGTTGGCTTGGGAATTGTCTACTTTCATCTTCTGTAGAGTGCTCATGTAGCCTTTCTCCTTTGTCAGGTTGTGCCTTCAGGGTGCTCACTGATGGTTTTGCTACATCCTGAAAAGTGAGGCTTAAAGAAAAGAGTTTTGAAAGAGATGGTTTATATCTCTCCTATGCAGACTCTGGGCCTAAACTATAAAAACTTATTTAGAGAACACTTTATTACACAAAGAATGTCATCATAAATGTGATCTCATTTAATCCTCATGAACACCTAGTGATAGAGAAGGCACGGAAGAAAACCTAGTCTCCATTTTGTGTTTTAGAGAAATAAAGGCAAATACTCAGCACAGGCTATGGGACAGTCAACACATGAGAATTTTTCACAGGACATTTCCTTTAACATCACAAGTGCCCCGTGAGGTGGGCAAACTTACCTGCATTTCACAAGAGTAAGCTAAGGCAGAGAGAGGCTGGCTGGTTTGCCCAAATCCATCCTCATCAGAGTAAGGATTTCAACTCAGGACCTGGAATTATTGAGTGGTGGGTCTAAGACCAGAACCCAAGTCTTTTCTGAATCATCTTCCATGCTTTACCGTATGGCGCATCGTCTCTATCCCATGAGGATTGCCCAGGAGAAACTGGGTCTAATTGAAATTCAAGGTGATGCTTGAAATGCAACAGAAGTTCCAAAAGGATGATCTAAATGATATGACTTATAGATTCCAATCCATATTTTGTCTAAGATGCGAGAGTTTTATACACACACAAAGCTCTCTTTCAAGCAGTAGCTGGCTTACTGGGAGCAGCTCCTTTCCCCCCTTGCTTCCTGCTATCTACTACTGATAAAAAATGAGCCAAGTGTTGGCCTCAATTTACTATAAGCTAATTAATTGTCACTTCTAACAATCAATGGACAGAGAAGAAAGAGCACTGAACTTGAAAGTCCTGTGGAAACTGGAGTTAGAATCCTAGCACGGAGCCTTGAGCTTGAAAGGCACAAGTGTCCTCCCAACTTACAGATAAACAAAACAAAACAAAACTCCCCCAAAAACCAAATATCAAGAGGGACCACAAGTTGTCAAGCACTTAGAATAGCTCTGCAGTCAGACTAGACTGGCTATGGCTTTGACCAACTCATTGAAACCCTCCGAGGCCCAATTTCTGCATTTGTTAGATGGGGATAATAACATATACTTCACAGGGCTATTATTCAAAGATTAAATGAGGCAATGTATGGTCAGCACAGGGCATCCGCAAGCGCCCGGTAGCTGAGGCTGTCGTTGCCAGACTGGGAGTGAAACCCAGGTCTTTCGACTCTTACCTTCTCAGCCTCAGGGAAAGTCCTCCGAGCCAGGGCATCCTGGTACAGAAGCTGGAGTTCCCAACCTCATCTGCTGTTGGAACTAGACAAGAGTAACATATGGGGCGAAGGGAAACTAAAGGGTTAAGATGATGAGCCTGAGAAAGCCCAGAAAACTAGAAAAGCGGACACCCGCCCCTCACTCCCCACCCCTACCCGCCAGACTAAGCCCCTCCTCTCCGCCACCGGGGCGGTCTCCGCGATCCCTCCCTCCCCCTTTCCCTTACAAGATCTAATGAGCTCCCCCGGGAAGCCGAGCTGCGAACCCTGCCCGGAGCGAGGGGGCTGCGCCACAAGCACCGTGCCAGGGCGGCATCCAGGCCTGGGCAGCCGGCGGGAACCCGGCGGGGCGCACCGGCCGCTCTCCGGGCGGCCGGGGAGACGCGGCGATGGCGGTGCAGGCGGCGCTCCTCAGCACACACCCCTTCGTCCCCTTCGGCTTCGGTGGCTCCCCGGATGGGTTGGGGGGCGCCTTCGGAAGCCTGGACAAGGGCTGCTGTTTCGAGGACGATGAAACCGGGACGCCGGCGGGTGCGCTGCTGGCTGGTACTGAGGGCGGGGACGTGCGCGAGGCCACCCGTGATCTACTCAGTTTCATCGACTCGGCGTCCAGCAACATCAAGCTTGCGCTGGACAAGCCGGGCAAGTCGAAGCGGAAGGTGAACCACCGCAAGTACCTACAGAAACAGATCAAGCGCTGCAGCGGTCTTATGGGCGCTGCGCCCCCGGGCCCCCCCTCCCCAGGCGCTGCGGAAACTCCAGCCAAGCGGGCGCTCAGTGCTCCCAGCGCCCAGACCCTCGCGGTACCAGCCCACGGCAAGGCCGCCCCCCGGCGGGATGCGTCGCAGGCCGCTGCGGCCGCCAGCCTGCAGAGCCGGAGCCTGGCCGCGCTCTTCGACTCGCTGCGCCACATCCCTGGGGCCGCCGATTCGGTCGGGGGTTCGGTAGCGGCACCGACGGCGGGCCTTGGTGGAGCGGGAGCCGGGGGCGCAGCAGGGGACCTGGCAGGCCCTGTGGGGGTGACGGCGGTACCCGGAGCCAGGAAGGTCCCGCTGCGTGCCCGCAACCTGCCCCCGTCCTTCTTCACCGAGCCGTCCCGGGCGAGCGGAGGCGGGTGCGGCCCGTCGGGGCCCTGTGTGAGCTTGTGCGACCTGGAGAAGGGCTCTGAGAACCTGGAGTTCTTCGAACTACTGGGTCCCGACTACGGCGCCGGCACCGAGGCGGGTGTCTTACTCGCCGCGGAGCCTCTGGATGTATTTCCCACCGGAGCTGCAGTCCTGCGGGGGCCTCCGGAGATGGAGCCCGGCCTCTTTGAGCCACCATCGATGGTGGGAAGCCTACTGTACCCTGAGCCCTGGAGCGCCCCGGCCTGTCCCCCGACCAAGAAGCCGTCTCTGGCTACCCCCCGTGGGGACTCGAACTTGAACGAGCCCTTGCGCCGCCTGTACCCCGCCACAGTGGACTCTCCGGGTGGGGAGGATGGGCCGGGCCTTCTGGCCTCTTTCACCCCCTTCTTCTCAGACTGTGCTCTGCCCCCGCCGCCCCCGCCCCCGCCCCACCAGGTGTCCTACGATTACAGTGCAGGCTACAGCCGCACAGCTTACTCCAGCCTTTGGAGACCGGATGGGGTTTGGGAAGCGGGGCCAGGGGAGGAGGGAGCGCACAGGGACTGACGCGAGGTACCCTTCCTCCCCTCGAAGACTGCTGTGGGGAGCGCCCCCTCCGGGTACCTCCTAAGCCTAGGGAACGATTGGAAAATGCACGGGAGATGAAACGGGATTGAAAGTTTCAATGGATAAAAGAAACTTAAAAAGAAAGGAAGAGGAGTTGGGGGTTGTTTTAATCACAGTATCAAGGTTTTAAAAAACGAACAGACGAGCCAAGAAACCAACACGGGATTTGGGTATTAGGGTGGGGACGGCAGAAGGGGCAGGAGGCGGCTTCCGTAGCCACCTGTCTCCTCTCCAGCTTTTCAGCAGAAGGTCAGTGTGTATTAATGTAACTGGCCCTTCCAAACAGTGCCCTGGCCCCTCCCCTTCCCTCCCCTTGGAGTCCACCATGAATTAAAGCCTATATTGAAAAGATTGGAGCGGAGGTATGTTATTTATTTGGCTGTTTGCTTAGAGGACACCTTCCCGTGTCGTCTCAGCCCTGCTCGGTGAGAGTGTTGTTGAGGACTCGAGGCCAGTGGTCTCCCTTGTGCTGGTCCTTGGGTGTGAGTCTCTTTTCTGTCACTCTTTCTCATAAGCATTCCCCCCCCCCGCCCCCCCCTTACCCTTCTTTCATCCCTTTCCACTCTGATCAATGCCATTGCTTACTTTCTTTCCTTCTCTTTTTCTGACCTCTCATTGCTTCCTCTGATGTGTTTCTGTAGGCTTTTCTTGCAAATCTCTTCTATAGGGGGCTTAAGTTTGGCAAACGTGGGATCCATCCATTCCTTTCCTTTCCTTCTCCCACTCCACAGCCACTTTGTGTGAAGCAGACTGGGCAAGTTTAACCTCTTTGTAATCAAGTTTCCTTATGGGAGAGGATGAGGATCACAATATTTATCCACTCTCACGTCACAGCTTGTTGGGTAGCTCAGAGAGAAAATACAGAAAGTTTTTGTCTTGAAGCCCCTGTAGTGCTTGATTGGTTCTGCAAGTATATATGTTTTATATACATATATACACGCTTTCCCCAAGTGGAAGCCATCAGAATTGTGAGTCTTGTGCCCTTTTTTGGCTCATCTCTTTGCCTGGTGATTGCCCTTTTCTTCATAAGCGGCGCACCATCCCCCTCCCCCCTCCTCCTGTTCCATTCTTCCCCTGTCCATTTCTGCCTCCCCCTCCCCATCCTTCCTCACTCCCTCTACCCACACTGTCCCCAGTGGAAGGAATGGTGAAGGGTGTGAAGTTCCCTAAAGAGCAGGGTTTATGAATGGAATCTGAAGGGGCCCAGGGAGAGGAGTCTGATCTGGTATGTCAAAGAGATTTGGGGAAAAGTCGTAGAAATGTTTTACTCAGCCAAAGAGTAGCGGAGTAGACACACAGCATCATCAGGATGGTTCAGGGGCAGAGGAGGAAAGACTGGGTGGGAAGTGAGCAGCTGGAGAGGAAAGGGGGAGCCCTTCAGTTCTACAGACCTGCAGGTGAATATGCAGGACCAGACCCACACCTGGACAATAAAAGATGTTACCTGTAGATTATGTTGCAAAGAAGAGCTGCCTCTGTTCAAGGCAGCCAAAGATAGATGATAAGAATATCTACATGTGAGAACGTCAAAACCCCAATGATACTGCAGAGGATTTTAAAATCCAGGCCAATGTTTGCACAAATTAACAGTACTGAAATAGTTTCAGAAAGGATTGGGGGGGGGGGTATCAAGCTACGGCATACAACTTAAAATGCTATCACTAAATCACTTCCTTCTGAATAAAACCTTTATTAAGAAAGCATCACAGGGAAATATAGCAATGAGTCTTAGTAACGAGGAAAAAAATTTGCAACTCAACTAGTGTCTGTAGAATTTCTTTGAAAGTGGTGAAACTGATGAATTCCATTGTGTTAGCAGAATATTATTCAACAATCATTTAATTTATCAACATTGTTTGGTGATGAGTACTATCCAAGATAAAATTGCACAGGAGGAAAAAATAAAACCCTGTGACAATTATGAAGGCTACAGTGTCACTGCAATGTTTCTTAATTTCCTCTTCTTTCCTAGTTTAGTAAAACAACATCTCTCTCTCCCAGCATCTTGCTTGCATCTTGCTTGCTGTGCCTTTCATTAATAGTGATAATGCCGGCACTATGTTTCCACGTGCCAGCACTGAGCTAAGCACCAATTCACTGAATCTCTTGACAATCCCATGACGTAAGTGTTGTTATTATTCCCATTTGGAAAGTGAGGCTCGGACAGATTAAATAACTTGGTAAAAGCAAGTAGTGGGTTCAAAATCTAGATCTACAAGTGTCCTAACACCAAGAGCTGCCTGTTACTCATGAGGCTCTACTGTGTTTTGTTAGTTTGTGTGGTTCCTGGTCCCTTGCATTGTGCTACCATAGGGCTTCTCAACTTCACCACTGTTGACATTTCGGGTGGGATAATTCTTTGCTGTGGGGACTGTCCAGTGCATAGTAAAATGTTTAGCAGCATCCCTCACCTCTACCCACTAGATACCAGTGGCACTTCCCTAGTTGTGACAATCAAAAATACTCGCATGTCCCATGGGAGGCAAAACTGCTGCCAGTTGACAGCCACTATGCTAGAAGAATATATAAGCAGCATCGGCAGGGTGCCTGGAACATTCACATACGTGATCTCATCTAATTCTTCCTAAGTTTGTGCTTAGGTATTGTTATTATCCTTATTGTTATATGAGTGAAAAGTAAGACACGGGGCTCAATTAATCCACTTAGCTACGTCTTGGCTAATTTACCAGCCGTGGACCAGGTATTTAACTGTATTAAGACTCAGTCTTTCCATTGGTAAAATTGGATAATTATCACAAAGGGTTTTCATGGGAAGTTGGAATAGAGGATGTATAAATTCCCACCAACAGGGAGAGAGGAGTTCTTAGTTCCAGGCAGCCAAGGCTTGGCTTTATGTCAAGGTTCCAAACCACCCTGTCATCCAGGATGGCAAGAATATGTGTTGGTCCCCAGGTAGCCTCCCAATTGCCCCATCTCTGATTTATTTTCTCCCCATGTTGCTTTCCAGTCTGAGAAACGTGTGTCTCTGACCATGCCCCCTACCATGATGCAGTAATAGTGCCCATTAATAATAGTCCCGCCAAGGGCTCAACCTACTGTTGCTTCCTCTCATATGTCATTTTCTACTGCAGCCTGTTAGAAGGTGTTTTCGGCTCTTGTTTAGCCACCTACTTGCCCATAGACTATTCTTTTTAAGTGCAATCGTAGATATTTTTCAAGAGCAGAAATGTAATAGGCTTTTAATTGTGTCGTTTTGGACAGGTGGGGGATCTTAGCTTTGTTGGTAATTACACTGTTTGGCTGCATATTCCTGACTTCCCAGCTCAGCTGGGCATCCCTTGGTGCCTGGAAAGTGTTTTAGTGTCGTCCTGTATCCTTTAATGGTTGTCCTAAGCCTTTGCTCATCTTCATCCCAGCCTCTACCCTTCCCCTCGCCTCACTCCACGACCCGACAATATGAAGAGCACCTGTTGTAACCCCTCTCCTTTTCCCGGCCCCGCTTTCACCCACGAGGTCTTCTCTTCAGCAGGCAGGACCTTTTCCTGCCCTCACAGCTCAGCACCCTGCCCCTCCCACTTCATGAGAACAAGGGGCTGCTCCTTCAGTGATCCTGAGTCTCCTTTACCTCCCACACACCCTTACTTTTTCCTCTGTCCTGACAAAATCCCTTTAGGGTGGTTTAAAAATAAGACGGGGAGGAGGGCGGGAATAAAAAACTGAAAAACTCCCTCAACCCTGTTGCGCTCTTTTAGGTAACAGTCTATCTTCTCTTTAGAGTCAAATCTCTCAGGAGAAGAATCCACACATTTGGCCTCCGTCTCACCTGCTGGTTAAACCTTAGCTATTTTGAGTCTTAGGGAGGCCCACTATCCCAGTTTGCCAGGATTGTCTCATTTTTACCTCTGAAAGTTCCACTGCCAAGAAATCCCTCAGTCCCAGGCAAACTGGGACAGTCACACATTTGTACGAAGTCCTCCCGGAGGGCAGGTCCTGTGCTAAGCGGTGGGACATGATGATGGGCAAGATGGGGGTGGCAGTATGCAGGGCGCCTGCCCAGCCGAGCTCCCGGTTAGCGGTGAGCAACGACGGTCGGGTGCGCGGAGCGCGCAAGCGAGCAGCCAGATGCCCTATGAGAAAGAGAGGGCAGGACAAAATAGAACTTTGCAGAAATTTGACGTGGGCAAGGGTTGCCACAGGTGTGGCAGGGACTCCCTCCTGCAGTCATGGAGGGTATTGCTATTACTCTTGCTCTCTGAGCCCAAATTTACCTCCATTTCCTGCCATTTACCCAGGTTAAAACCTGTTTTCCATCTGGAATTTATTTGGTCAGTGCACCAGAACTGAGTCAATGCTGGAAGACTGACTCACACTGTCCAAGTTCACATGTATAAACCATAAGTCCTCTTCTTAATGTGCAACAAAAAACACAAACCTAAATTAGTTATGCCTGGCCAGGAGAATTCATAGTATCTACCTACACAGAAGACATGAAAATCAGAACAGCATGCTGTGAGCAGAAGAAGTAGTATAATTGGTAGAATCAACTCCACAATTTGGGGACAACTATAGCTAGGCTTCTTTTATTTTCAATTAATTGCTTGAACACCTACTGCCCTATTTGCATAAGGTCTTAGTATCTCTCCCTCTAGGGCCTTCCCCCTCCTCCCAGAGCTTGCCAGAATCTCGAAAGCTTCTACAGTCCAACAGACATATAGCCCCTAAAAGGGACTCAGGCTGGCTTTGCCATTCAAGTGAGTCATTCATTCTTCCAAGAGAGCCTGATAAATCCGCTACTGTCATCGTTAGTCATGCCATGCAGGATCGCGGGGTTGTACAAACTGTAAACACTGTGGAGCCTGCAAAGCCAAGGAGATGAGTGGGAACTGAAGCCTATCCTCTGTTTACTCTAGTGCCACCAAGCAGTGCACACAAGGGAGGGGGTGGTTTCTTGTTTTTAAAATTTGCACAAAGACGTGGTATAGGTAGCTGTGACCCTGAGGTTCAGCCCTGAAAACCAGTCCTACTCAGAAGGATAGACATACTAGTGCAGCGGCTCTCAGTTGCTGAGAAGGTGCCATGTGCTCTGTGGGACGATGGTCACCTCCCTCAGTACCAGGGCCAGGAGCACTGGGTCAGGGCTGGCTCTGGCACCTGTCACCTCAGGGACCCAGCGGCACCAATGTTCCTCTTCCTCTCTTCCTAGGATCTCCCTGAGTCATCAGCTTCTTTTAAATCCTGTTTCTGAACTATGGGTATTATGGGCTGAATGTCTGTGTCCCCCCAAAATTCATATATTAAAACCCTAATCCCCAAAGTGATGATGTTTGGAGGTGAGGCCTTTGAGAGGTGATGAGGTC